AATAGCAAAGCCGTAGAATGGTCTAATATATTGACACAAGAATTGGAAAATTTTTGGAAAGATCTTGGAATATTAAATTGTTCTAGTAATGAATGGTCACTTGAAACAGATATAATGAAATGGGCTCTTAGATTTTGTGTGACATGATTACAATTGTAATTACTGGTAAAGGTCTTATTCAATGGCTTCCTATTATAATGTTTATAGTCCCGTAAAAGAAATACACTCTGATACAGTGATTGAAGACTCTGAACAATTTATTCAAGGATTTAGAAACCACATTTCTGGATTTATATACTTTCTATATTTTAGCCAATTCTTACATCATCATATGCCATTTATAAGAGATCATATTAAAGCAATACTTAAAAATTGGGATTACTTGTTTGAAATATTAGATTCAATAATTAAGAAGAGAAGGAAAGAAATTGAAGAAATACCAGTAGGAACTGAATTAAGGAATGATATGTTGACATCTTTAATTGTTACTCATACAGAAAGAGATATAGTTAAAATTTCTAGAGATAATATCTTTAGACCGATGATAGATGTTGAAATAAGAGCTAATTTACTTGATTCTTTCCAAGGTGGTATTGATACTGTAAGTATTATTTTTGATAATTAATAATATTTGAATATTTTTATTAATTTTTTTATGTTAAAAAATTTTCAGACAGCAAATACATTCAGTTTTATAGTCTACTATATCTGTCAATATCCTCAAGTTGAACAAAAAATGATTGATGAAATTAACTCAATATTCCCTCCAAATTCTTTCGATCTGAAATATGATGATCTCTTAAAATTGAAATATTGTGATGCGATTATTAATGAAGTTAGCCGACTTCACCCAATTGTAATTGAACTCTAAAGATATGTTAAAAATCCTTGTGAAATAGCTGGATGTTGGTTTGAAGTTAAAACAGTGATCCATATAAATACTAATGGTATTCATACACATAAAGATCATTGGCTCAATCCTGAAATTTTTGATCCAGATCGATTTTATAACAAAAATATGAATAATAAAGTTAGGAATAAATTTTCATTATTAACATTTGGTGGTGGTTTACGTATCTGCCCTGAAAGAAGATTAGCAATGATCGAATTACTTTCATTAATGGTAATATTATTTGGAAAATATGATATTGAGTTAGTTGATACGAACACTTCGTTAAAGGTGAAAAGCACTGCAACAACTACTTGTGGAGAGTTGCCAATTAAAATTAAGCCTAAAAAATATTGTAGTCTATTGTAATTTTTTACTTTTTTTTTATATTTACGCATTTATAATCTTAATAATTAAAATTAAACTCAACAATGTCACCTCGTATGTTATTATAAAAATAATTTTAATATTATAGAACATTTTTCTGTTCTTTATAAAGCTGGCTTAAAGTGCTATTATTATAATCATAAAATATATATATATATATATGATATTTATTATCGAGTTTCAAATATTTTTTTTTATCATGACAACAAGATCAATCTTATTTCTGTAACCATCTCTCTTACCCAACTTTTAGATCTAGCAATCACACCATCATTTTCATTAGAGGTAAAATTTTTAACTAATACCCAAACTATCTTAATTTTAAAAAATAGCTATATAATAAAAGAATACTATACTTAGACCAGTTAATAATAACATTAACAGAAAATAATATACTATTAGATTAGACCCATATTTTACAATTTCACTATTAATTATTGCATTTTCATTTTGTTGTTTAATTGCTTCATTGATCATCTCTTGAGAAAAAAAATAGCCGAATATTTGATAAAAAGAGTCAGGGACTAAATTAGTATAATTGTTTAGAAAAAAATTATTTTCTGAATGTTCATTACAGATAGCAAGAGTTTTTAAAGTTTTGCGAAGAGTTTCAAGATTGTCAGTCATTTTTAAAAGCAAAGAGTGAAGAGATAATAGTTAATTTGTTTGTAAATGGTATGTTAACAAGTTGAGTTATAACTAAATTATAATAACTTTTTCTTTGGGCAAATGAGTAGAGAAATTCACTAACGCTAACAGCATTATTTGTTTCAAAGTTATTTATGGTAGCAACTTCCACTCATGTGCAGTTGCATGGTTTGTTTATTGGTACTGGTAAGTTTAATAATACCAAATTTCTTGATTTAATCGAGTTTGAATAAGATTGTATCGATCTAAGAAATAATAGAATCTACTATTGGCCACTGCCTACAGTACCCAGGGTCTTATAAGAACTCTACTTTTAAAATCAAATAATACCTGTGGGTACTGTGTGAGAACCGAGTACTATATTTGAAGTCTTATTTAAATTTACATTCTATAATTTTTAGTGTAAACTTAAGAGATAAAAAAATATAACTTATAATTAGGATGTATTAAAGCCAAGTCCTACAATAATAACGTACAGTATAATTTAAATTGTTATTTATGTGAAAACTTTTTAATTAGCGTTTTCTTTCTAAAAATCAAAAGAAAGGGTATTAAATATTGAATAAATTTTTGAAAATTATATAAATATAATAAACACCTAGTAAAATATTGAGAGTTATAGATATCGTAAATAATGAATGATTCTTCTAAGAATGATACTATCAAATAATAAATAATATTTAATCAACAAACCCAATTTTTAATGTTAACTCGATTAGTTAGCCTCTAAGGCAACAAAAATTTAGGATCCAATAAAGAATCTGATTGGTCTATCTGGTCAGATTGGCCAATCAGATTCTTTATCAAATTCATTGATAAGAGAGAAGTACCTCTCTCAATGAATTCGATAAAGAATCTGATTGGCCAATATGATCAAACAGACCAATCAGGTTCTTTATTGGATTCATTGAAGGAGATGCTTGAGAACGTCCAAGATGTGCAATAAAGATATTACTTAAAGGATAAGTTATAATGATAAGTAATTATTACTTAATACATTTGTTTTTTTTTAAAAAAAGCAATAATACTATTTTGAGGAGTTTGTGCGAAAAGTAATTATAATACAAATATAGATATCAATTGAATTTATTATTAATTTTACAGCATTATTAAAATGCTCTGCAAAATAATCAAAATCAAATAAATATTTGAATTGATTTTCTTGTACTAGGGGTTTCAAAGTTAAAATCAGATAATCTTAATTTATTTTCCAATTTATAAGTCTGTACTGTACGTACGTAACTTGAAACCCTGTACTCGAGTCGGGTATTACATACGTACGTACCTATATTTAAAATCAAATATTTGTCTCTGTCTAAAAATGAATTTTTAATTTTACGAATAGGGTTGCAGACAGATATTACGTAATATTTTAAGGTAGTAGCAAGAACACTAAATTTTAGAACACAAATCAAAGCTTAAAATGATCATACGTAGTAATATCGATATGCCTGCATGTTTTTAAAATTGATCTATCATATAATAAGTGATAATTACTTATTTTTTTTGTTTTTGCTAAGTTAAACTAACTTTTAAAAGTGGGATTCATGTCACCAACTCAATCAATTCACCAACAGGCTTGTTTAACAGGCAACAATTAAATAGAAAACAGTAAGACATTTTTTTATTGATAATATATATGAGTTGGTTCACAGCAAAACAATGCTTAGAGAAGTTCTAACCAAAATTGAGATTTTTATTGAATTATATTTTTAAATGAATGCTTTATTCGTGGTAAAAATTTTGATACACATTAATGTTTATAATTTTATCACAAATTGATATCGATATGCAGTTTTTTACAAATTCTGGAAATTCTAGTTTTTACATTATAAATTCAGATCAATATCGATATTTAATTATTATGGGCAAGATTTTTTTTTGTCAAATCAAATCATTGTGCTAATATACCAGTAACTATATCGATATCTGAGATATTTACTAATAAGAAATTTGTCTCTAAGCATGGTTTTGCTGTGAACCAACCCATATAATATGTATTTTTTCATAAGAATGTGTTTGGTTCAAAAAAGTAGGCAGATTAATGAAATAAAAATTGTTCTTCCGTGAATGGAGTCAGTTAAAAATCTGCAGAATTATTCAAAAGTGAAAAGCTTATTGATTGCGTTTTAGGTTGCAAATTAGACAATGTTTAGAAAAAATGATAAATGTAACAAATAAATAAAAAAAAACAAAAAATGATAAATGAAACAAATAAATAAAACCAAAAAAATAAAATAAAAATAAAATAACACAAAGAACATTATTTTCAAAAAAAAAAAAAAAAAAGCGATAATCTCTTAAAATAATTTGCCCAAACAAATTATTTATCGAAAGCATTGACCAATTTATACCTGACACAGGATGATAGTCATGCAAAGGTTATTAATAGGGTGAACATTAATAAGATTAGATCGGGTTGCTATTTGAGGTTAAGAAAGGAGTTAAGAAGGAGATTTAGATATTACATATTAGGATTAAGAAAAGATAGAAAAAAAAGGAAAATGAGGAACGGAAGTGAGGAAGGAAAATAAATAGCACAAAAAGGAAAAGTCGAGAAGTTTGGAGACTTGCTCACTGACTTGGATAGACTTGCTCGGAGACCTGCTCTCTTATGTTATGTGTAGATTTAGAGTTATTATAAAAAAAAAAAAAAAAGAGTGAAGAAAGGAAGACAGGTATTCGGTATAAAAAAATAAAATAAAATAAAATAAAAAAAGAGAAAAAAACAAAAGAGAGAGAATTATCGCTCAACAACATGTTTCATATATTGCGGTATATAACGTATGGATCATAAGCACTATGAATATTTTAAATAGATAATTAAAGAATAATAAGTAACAAGAAATGTAAAGAATGTAAAAACTACAAGTTGGGGCTAGAAGTCGCGGTGTGGCACTACTCCTATAGTGTATTCTTCATCAAATAAAATTAATCCGAGCGAGAATAAACAAGATCAACTTATTTTAAAGTCATGTAATCAGATTTCGAGATCAATGTTTATTATAAAAGGAGTGATTAAATAGTTAGAATTACAGAACAAGATATTTTTGTGATTTATTTGTAGATTCAAGAAAAATGCAGATTATATATTCTAATTATTATCATGGGTATTAGATATTGAACAACTCATTTTTCGAAAACAATATATTGGTGTTGGGAATTATAATTTGACGGAATTTTAACTTACAGAAACCAATTCACAGTCTGTGAATTAATTTGTAAATTCTGTGAATTGATTTCTGTAAATGGTATCTTGTGAAAACCATCATTGTATGTTCCAATTTGAAAATAATTTTCTAAGGTGTATTGTTCATAGATTATTTAATTAAAAAAAAAAAATTATATCGGTAATTTTGTAATTTATAATTTTTTTTACTCACTTAAAGTTATCTCATCAAACAATACAGAAGCATTAAAACAATTTGAGCAAATATAAATTTATTATAACTAATTGCAAAAATTAAAGTTACATTTAAATCATTTAAATCATTTGATTATACTTTGATATGAGGATATTTTTTTCAATAGTTAAAATTATTAATTGATATCCATATAATAAATTTATTTAATTAAGATGCTTTACTGATATATAGTATTTTAGTTTTGTATGTTTTGTGTACTACAAGGAATTAGCTTTATATGATTAAATATATCAGATTTCTTAATCTTTATTAATGAATATATTACAAACATACTGAGTTACAATAAACATACACAGGTCAAACAAAAGAATACTGAAGAAGTATCAGAATGCCGATAGTAACCAATATTTTACCAATATAGCTATGATAGTAGTCCGGTATATATAACCGATATCTTACCAATTCGGCTCCTATATTTTACAGAAATTTGGCTAATTT